GGCTGGGAGGAGGCGCGCGACTACGATGGCCGAGTCTTCTACATCGACCACAACACGCGCCAGACGTCGTGGATCGATCCCCGCGACCGGTAAGGGCGCGGACCCGGGCCACCATCGGGGCACCCCATCCTTTGGGCCCAGGGAGAGGATCGAGGAGACCGGGAGGCCCCCGGCTCGGGGCGAAGATCGTGCGTCCGTGGGGCCCGGGCAAGGCTCCGGGCGCCCCTACCCTCGGGGCCCTGGCCGGGGATCGAGGCGCCCCCTCTCCGGCCTGGAGCCCCCGGAGTGCGGAGCCCCGGCCTCCTCCCGGCCCTGGCCGCTGGGCGGACACTCGGACTTGGTTCCCTCACGTCACCCGCTGACCGGCGCCTGGGAGTTGGGCGCCTGGAATTTCCTCTCCCAGGGCTGACGGATGGCCCTCTTTTCCTTTTTCCGCCTCGGCCTCGCCCATCCCTGCCGGGCCTCTGCGTCCCGCCGCCCCCGGCCCCGCGGAGGCCAGATGAGCTGTCATCTTGGAGCGCAAACGTGCGCCCCAGCTTCGTGGGGTGGGTTCCTTGCCTGGCGGGCTCAGTCTAGTTTCCATCAAAAGATTGAGGCCAGACGGGACACTCCAGGGATTCCCAATTCTTTTGGAGTTGGGAGAGCCTGTTCTCAAACTGTGCTCGAGCGCTTTAAAAACTGAGTTAGAATTTTATTTGAAAGAGCCTTGTGTACTGCAGCCAGAGTGGAGTATGATTAGACCCATATGCTTTCGAAATAAACGAAAAACAAAAGTCGAATTTTAGGTTTCATTTTTGTGCAAGATATGAATAGGGCACTAAGTTGTGTTATTCATGTAAATAAATCTTATGGAGTAAAAACAGATTCTTCTAAAAGCACTACCAGGTTGCATTTAATTAGGTTAATGAGAGGCTTTTCCTTAACTTTTTTGCTGGATTGTCTACTGGTTTCAGCGGTTCAGCTGCTTTTGGAGAGATGCATTCTTTTGTGGAATTGGGAATTCTGTTGAAACCGAGTGTTTGCGGCGGTTATCTGATATCTTGTCCTATCCGGAGCAACCTCTCTCCACGCTGGGCCTGAGTGCCAGAAAGGAAGTAGTGCAGGCTTCCCAGTGATTTGGAGACTTGAAGAGGCCCAGCGTGGTGACATCTCGCCTGCTTCCTCCTACCTGCACGGGAAAGCTGCCCTGCCTGGCACTGGCCTCTGAAGATAAACTTTTGGGGAGGGAAGCTGTTGAATTATTGTTTGAAGATTTCTCTGGGTTCAGATAGGGAAAAACAAAACAAAGCAAGAGGATCGTGGTTCCTTAACATTCTCTCTGAACATTGCAAACTTCTGGATTTAGAAACTTAGATAAATCTTAGCACAGTTTTTTGGGTTAAAAAGATGCTTAGTTATTTAAAAAATCAGGTGAGATCATATTATAATTTTAACCAAAAGCTAGAGAGCCATAACTGTTTGATCAAGCCTTGGATGGTTCTAGAATTGGTAGAACTGCTTGGAATGTGGTGCCCTTTTATGCTGTATATCTGTTAAAAACCCAAACAACTGGAAAGTGAACCAGTTAAAAATACTGTTTTGCTTAGAAAAGGCTAAGGCTCATTTTATGAGGGTAATATAAAACAGTTGTGGTTACATTAGAGTGGGAATTCATGATGAAAAATATAAATGTAAGAATTTCCCTTTTAATGGTACCACCCAGGACATAGGTGAGCAGACCCTACAGAAGTCAGCTTGTAGAATCTTTCTTTACGTGTATTCCATGTACATTTCCTATGTTCCTCTTTCCAGAAATGTTTGT